AAAAAAAAAAACCTCTTATCTTCATCTATAAAAAAAAATATTCTTTCCAACCCCATTCCCATTATGAATATCCCATGGAGCCCCGCGGGATCGAACAAATTGCCATCCTTACTTGAGACCCACCGAAGGGTTGGAAAATGGTTTGGACTCGTTTCTTAACGGAAGTCAAATGTAACCACGGTGGGACCCATGGTGATGGGCTTCTGGAAGTCTCCGAGTTAATGGACCATGGGACTGGGGCTCAAGTTTTTATTTAAGCTGTTATGATGAACATGAACTTAGGCCCTGGACTCAAATCAGGACCTAGTTGAGCCCATTGGGCTTCAATAGTTTGGACTTTTTTTTTCTTATCCTTCTTTTTCCTCTTCTGAATTTCACTCTTGCGTTTCTTTATTTCATTTCCCATTTCCGTAATTAATTTTTATTATTTTTTAACAAAATATGGTCTTTTTAATCTATGCCTTTGGAGCACAAGTTAATAATGTATTTATTATATTTTTTTACTATTAATATATATAAAAATTATAACAATAAATTTTATTTTTAATATTAATGTCACATGAAATACTTTAATTAGGCGATTACTAAAATGTAAATTAATTTTTATTTTTTTACACAAAGTAACAATGAAAAGGTACATGTAATAATTACATTTTAACTTATATTCTAAAAACATAAATTAAAAAATTCATTTATCTAATGATAGGCTATAACTATACAATAAAGAATAGCAAATTCATTTTTCAAATCCTTCTTCACCATCTTAAAGTGTAACTATGAGTTTTCTAGAATCTATTATGCTTCTTTGGCTATGTGCTTTTCTACTTGTCACGTATTATCAACCCCTCGTCACCAATCCGTGCTTAAAGCTCATGTACTGCATGTCTTCTCTAGCTTGCTTATCCGGCAAGTCGTGATGTTCGGCTCTTAATTAGTCATGTTTATATTAGTCATTTTGGTACATATCATCAATGGTCGTCACCAAATTAAGTTACTGGTATGAGAAGAAGTGAATTTAATGGTTTCCCAGTAGCTTCCCAATTCCCATTGACTAGGTAAAAAGTAACTTTTCTTCTTCTTCTTTTTCTTCCTTTTATAATATAATTATTTTGAGTTGTAAGAAAGCAAATTTCTTTCTACTTCTTATCTCACATCATTTTGTATGTTATAAAATTTAAATTTAAAATATTTTTTTATTAAAAGAATATTACTATGAAATTAATTAATATTTAGGTCAATCGTTCACAATAGATTAAAGTGGATTAATTGCACCAATAGAGAATGAGATGAGGTAAGGGCAAACGAATGTTATAGGTAATTAGTTTTACCTTATTCACAGAATTAATTAAGAGTTTTTTAACATATGCTTTTAGATTGTAATTATTATATTATTTTCATATTAATTAGTATTAAAAAATACTAAAATTATAATTAATTTCATCACCAGCATCATGTAAATTATTTTAACTAGATGATTTATTTAATAAAGGTCAATTTTTATTTTTTTAATATTAATTAATATAAAAAAATGTGTAATAAATTTATTATTGATCTGTGCTCTAAATGTAAAGGTTAGAAAAATATATTAATTAAAGCTGACTGGTGCAAAGAAATGAATTTGATGGTTCCCAGTAGTTTCCCATTGACAGGGTAGAAGTAATTAACTTAACTAATTACACCAATATATATACTATTATACTGTGTAGAAAGAAATGAGCAGAAGACCAACGATGTTGGCTAGGTAATCACTTTCACCTTAATTACCGAATTAATTAAAGCTGATTGGTTTTAATTTTCTTTGTCCGACCATTAACCTAATAACATAATTGGTCACTATTATGAATCATGTCGTAACCTTATAAGGATGTATGAGTGATGACGTAGCTTTCACCAACGTTACTCATTTCCATTAACACCCACTTGTAGGCTTGCAGTGTGTTTACCAGGCCACTTGCAGATTATTAAGCTTAAATATATAACTCCAACAGCCTCCTACTTGTTTTCTAGTGATAAATTTGTACTCCTATGTTAAAATGCTAGTTTTAATCTTACATTATTTTATTTTTGGTATTTATGATTAGATATTTTCATATTAATTTTTATATATTTTAAAATTAATCATTTTTTAAATGATCATAAAGGTATACTCTTTATATCAATCTAATACATTTAAAAAAATTAGTTACTATAATTTTACATGTAGGAACGGAGGCAATAAAGGAAAGGGGGGCAGCTGTCTCCCTCAACCTTTGAAAAACATTTAATATGGTACTATAACTGTTATTTGTTAAAAAACTTTTTTTTAAGAACTATTTCAAATATAGAGAAAATATTTAGAATCTAAATAAAGAGTTTTCCAAAAAATAAGGATATAATTCCAATGAAATAACTTTTATGTCAATTTGATTAATTATAGGAATTAAGCGTTCTTAAACATTTCGTCACCTATCATGCCCAAAGAAGAAAAATAAAAATCTTTAATTCTCTATTTAAACAACTTAAAATTTGCAATTTTCTTTAGTATTCTTTTTATTTTCTTTTTAATATTTTGTATTAAATCACTCTAAGTTAGATTTCACTTTCTATAAGAAATATTCTAGTATTTTTTTTATAATATAAGTGTTTGTAAACAGGATATCTAAAAAAAAATCCAAAATTAATTGCATTATTTCCATAAAACCAAGACACTTTTATTCTTACTTTAGGAATAAGTTGGTTTT